TTGTCTGTGTGAGTGTCTGTGTGTCTGTGTGAGTGTGTGTGTGTGTGTGAGTGTCTGAGTCTGTGCTTCTGTGTGAGTGTCTGTGCTTCTGTGTGAGTGTCTATGTCTGTGTGAGTGTCTGTGTGAGTATCTGTGAGTGTGAGTGTCTGTGAGTCTGTGTCTGTGAGTCTGTGTGAGTGTCTGTGTCTGTGAGTGTGTCTGTGTGAGTGTCTGTGTCTGTGTGAGTGTCTGTGAGTCTGTGTCTGTGTGAGTGTCTGTGAGTCTGTGTCTGTGTCTACACTTAATTACCAGTATTTCCTCTTTTTATTTGGATTTTAATGGTCTCAAACCCAAAGATTATATGATTTGTTTAACATAGAGTCAGACAACCATGCATCAAGCATGTAAATATCATGAAGCAGATTGATGCTGTGTGTTGTGAGATGGTGACGAGGTTTACAGACGGAGAGTCTGAGATAACAGGAGGAGTTTAATGCATCGTGTGCTTTTCCATCGGCAGGCTTTGCATCCGCTGGATCCCTCCAGACTGTTCGGATGGCAGTCGGCCAACGCCACGGGCGGCAGCGGTAGGAGCTTTACACCTTACTGTGAGAAATGCTCCTGGTTTTATTGACTAAAGTGTGGGTTTGCTGATGTTCTCCAGAAGCGTCCAGCGAGCCGCCGCACTTCTCCAGCTCTCAGCTCGTCAGTAAGTTGGCCGTCGTCGAGAGTCTGGACTTCCTGTATTACCTGAGTCACGGCCGGCCGGCGTTCGCATACGGGGTTTTCATCACGCAGCATCTCCTCGACTGCAGCAATGTCAAGCTTCAGTGAGTCCAGCTCACTGTTACACTGTCAAAATAACACACAAACACGTGCTTACTGCGACATCTGACAGCTCAAACTACAAATCATGCTGTTATGACAGTCCGCTACTTCAGTTTAGATTCTTTGAATCAGTTTAAACTCTCAATAAACTATAATCTAAAAAAATCTAAACTATACAATTATATATAACATATTTAATGTAATTATACAATTATATTCATAAAACTTAAGAATATGTAAAAAAATACTAAGAATATGTATATTATGCAGAATGTAAAATGTAAAAAAAATAATTTAATAAATTGCAATTTAATGAAAATAATATAAAGTGCATATATATGCTCTTTAAAATATTGCGAAAATTAATGAACTCTGAAAATCAGTTTCCAAAAAAGCTAAAAATATGTCAAATTAATGTATATAAAATATGCATGTAAAATAAATATAAATAAATGTTATATCAATTGTATATTAAATATAATTCTAACTTTATTTATAGAATATATATGTGTGTGTATGCTTCTGTGTTTTAATCAGATCGTCGTACGAGGCGGCGCTGGAGTGGGCACTTCCTGTCCAGTTCTGTCACCTGCACGCTCTTCCTCTAAGCCCCGCCTTCCCACAGGACTGCGCTCGTGACGGGCAGTGGCTCAACTTCCTGTTGTTTGTACAGCTGCACAATTACCCGCTACGACAGGTGTGTCCGCTACACGAGTCTTGTGATTGGTTCATTATTTGATCACACGTTTTTGCCCTTTTTTTCCATTAAAAAAAATCATAATTACAATTTTAAAAATGATTAAAAAGATTATTTAATGGAATTTTTTTGTTGATTTTTTTTCTTTTTCTTTTTTAAATATGCTGGGATTTTTTTTTTTTTCAAATATGGAAAAATATTAAAATATTTTTAATTGGATTAAAACTTTTTTTATTTTATTAAAATATGGGTAAAATATTAAATACATTTACACAATGTGTTTAATTATTATTATTATTATTATTATTTATTTATTTATTTTTTTTAATAATATGTGGGGGAACATAAAAAAACTTGTTTTAATTTAAATATTTTCCTGTATTTTTATTTTTATTTTTTCAGATAGGTCTATTTAAAAAAAGACCTCACAGGTAACATGTTATCATTCCAAGGGTGTATAATTTAATAAGGAAGCTCGGGACATGTCCCTACCAATGTACAGCGACTACTGAATTTTCCCTTGCCATAATTTTGTTCAAACGATTAAATATATGTATATATAACTGCTGTTGTTGTAATTTCACTTTCAGTGGCGCACATTTAATACATGTGCAGAGTAAGAACATATAAGGTAACCGAAGTGTTTAAAACATGCGTGCACAGTCCAGCTGAATGATAAAGTTTACCCTCTTTGACTTTGTTGTTCTGCTGTTTTGTGTTCATCTGCTTCTCCCATTTGCTCTTTTTACATTGACTATCACTCTATATAGACTAATATAATCAGATACAACAATCATTTCTTAAACATTAATTACAATATATACTGATAAATGTAACATTCACTAAAATGGCATCAGGTGAATGGACGCTTTCAACTGATTTCCTCTTGAACGGTCACCAACTGAATTGCAGTGGTTAAACTACGTAAAATATAGTGAATTAAGCTACAAACTCACTCATAATGCACAATGTTTCCATCTAACATGTATTTTGAGCTGCAGCTCGTCATATTAATGGAGTTAGCAGTAAACCGGTTTCCTCACCTGAATATGTTCGTAGATTTGTGTTTAATGATATCTTTGGAATGGAAATAAACATGGTCTTGTAAACATGGCTGAAGACGCAACGGGAGGAAACGGAGCGAGTCATTTATGCTGGATTCTAACTCAAACTCGAGACTTTCATAATTCACGTCAAGCGATTCACTAGCAAAACACAGTTCAAAAGAGCCATTCATTTACGAATTTTGGCATCGCTTGGGTGAAACAGAGGCTATAGAAACTATGAATCTAAACCATTGCGTCGCAAAATTATTCACTGTTTCAAAGTGCTCCAATTGGATCAAGTATTGCAAATCATTTGATTCAGATCGGGACTTCAAATCGCGAATCATTTTATTTAGAATGGAACTTCAAATTGCGTATCGCGAATCATTTGATTTATATCGGAACTTC